TTGAATGGGGCATGAATGTATGAAGTATTAGAAGCTAATGGCATTCTACTTCATGCAACTCAAGAACTTGGTTATGTCCCAGTAAAGTTATGGGAGGCTTCACAGGGTTTCTGAACATTGAGTAGTTGGTCACACTATGCCTCTTGAAAAAAAACGATGCTATCTGAAAACTGTTTATGATGCCATACAGAGTCCAGGAAATGGACAAGCCAAAGGTCACTGGGCTCCTCCCCAGGCCAGGCGCTGTTTTCATGCTGAGTCTGCATATCCCAGCACCGGGCAGCTTTTCTGGGTTGGCAATGACCCTCCTGGCTTTGCTTTGCACTAGTTATCACTTGTTTCTGTGAGAACTAGACTTAAACATTCATTCTTCTCTGCAATAAATTCAAAATAATAGTAATCACAAAGGCTTTCTAACACTAAACTACAATTGGTAGTTTACATACACATACACTGAGGACCAGGGATTCCTTGAGGCCAACACTGTGTTTTTATCTGATTTTGTACCTCCAGAGTCCAGTACAACTCTTGGCACGTATTAAGTATTTAATGCACACTTGTAGAATTAATGAATGAATTAATCGTATTGTGGACCAGTTTGGCCATCTTCTTATTTTTTTCATTTATAGTCCCCACCACCTCCTCAAAAGAAAATCTAGACACGTTGGCAATATATTTCTATCACCATCTATAATTTTTCAAGGGCAGTTTCTCCAAAGAAGATAAAATATGGGATAAAAGGCAAAAATTCACCTCAAAGTGTTAAGAAATAATTGGCTATCAGGACATTTTGGAAAAAATAAATTCAGGATTATGAATTATCCAGAGTTCCTGAAAATGAGGTTGTCATTAAAAAGTTATTATACTTTGTTCTTTGGTGGAAGAAGGAGTAAGGAGAAAGGAAGTAAAAATGAGAAGAGGAGAAAGGAGAGAGAAGGAAAAGAGTGAATTTAGGCCACTCCTTTATTGTATTAATACGCATGGCCTTGAACGATGGAACCCTGAACCCCCACCATGGTGAGAACCCTCCTGAAAAATCTTCTTGTATATGTTTGTAATTTGTCTCAACGCCATGGGGCACGTGGCTGATCCTCTTTTCCTTCTATGTCAATGAAAACAATATTTTCAAATGAGGAGACAGCTTCAATTAGAAAACTGACAACTAGAATTTTACTTTAATATTTTTTCACATCTATTGGAAGCTTACCGCCCTTTGGACATTCTTCAAGCACGCCCCTATTTTTGTACCACATCTGTGGGAGAGGAATAGATTTATTCATTGTTTTATAGAATAAATTTATTCTGACACAAATAAATTAAAAATACTCGTGAAAGGTTTTCTCTGTGGGTCTATAGCTCTCTCTCTCTCTCTCTCCATATATATAAAGTCAATCTCAAAGTGGTTTTCCTGAAAATGAATGTGTGTGTACTTTTGGAAAGTATGTATGTAAATATGTGTGCATACTTTTCCCCCATAAAATATGGATGAGTGTATCCACACACACACATTTTCTGGAACACCTCAAAATGGTTTTCTGGAAAGCATTTGTTGCTTAGTGACATGCCGAGCCCTAGTTTGCCTAAGAGTTTGCTCACCGACCTGTCCTTTGACACAAAGGAAGCTGCCAAACAACTCCCAGAGGCAGGAGAGGGGTCAACGCAGGGAAGGACAGCACTTCACGTGAAGTGCTGTGACGGCTCCGAGTTAAGGATTCTCCAAAAGGCTCTTTGCTATTTTCAGCACCCAGGCCAATGGTTCAAAGAAACCCAGTCTAAAGGCACAGGTTCCTGGTATTGTAAGGTTTTGATCTCATGTCTAACGAAGACGACCCTGGCTCGGGAACTGAGATTGTCCCTGTTCCCAACTTATTCATTTGCCTCTTCTGCTTGTAGCATTCTCCTCCAGAAATATAGCTCCAAAGCCACATACATTTATTTTTTCAACTATAATATTTCCCTGACTATTGCCGTTTCTTTTGTTCCATAGTTAGATGAAGGTTTAAAATAATCACTTCTCTCTAATTTCTCATTGTTTCCATAGTCCAAAGGGTAAAGAAATGTCTGCAAATATATCCCTGTTCTAATGGTGCCTTTGTTTAGAAATAATGGGAACCACGGATGGTGATTTAAAATGCATGCTGCCCGCCCAATCCTTATTTCATTCTAATTGGAGCTGACCCCCTGGAGGAGGATAGGGAGCCTAGCTGCATACAGAGTCAGCTTTAGCCTAACTGGTTTGTCTCCTGAGAATAAGGGAAACCAACTGTGTGAGTCTTCCCATGTCTATGAAAAAAAAGAAACTTTTGAAGACAAACTGGTTCAGTGAATTCAGTCATAAAGTTTAAAAAAAAGAAAGTTCTTGTGCTTGGCCATTTGGAAGGACTGGGACAAAATGATGTCAAAACTAAATTTTAAATTTCAGGACTGATGAGCGTTATGAGATCACGGTTGTGAGGTCAAAAGGTGGAAAGGCTTACGGTCAGACATAAACAGCAAGATAAAGCAAACCCTCAGAAACAAAACAGTGACATTGCAACACTAGGTGCTGGAAGACTTGTAGCCATCTCCCCTGCCTCCCGCCTTCTTCGCAAAGATCCACGTGCCTCTCTCTTTCGTCGTGACGTTTAGGGAAGGCACGTGGCAACCACAGTTCTGCTCATCAAAAATACTCATTCCAAATGACATTTTGCCTTTTAATTAGTTTTTTACTTATATTTGAATATAAAATTGACATTCTGAGAGTTTATTTCCAATCAAATGACAGAACTATACTGTAAGAAAACTCAGGAGTAGTTAAGAAGGTGACGGCTTTCTGCACCTCCCCTCTGTCGATGCTCACACCGAGTCACGTCACCTGAAGCCAGGGTGCCTCCCCATCTTTTCTAAAGCTTGGCGTCAATTAAAATAGTACCTACCACTTATGGAGAGATAGGAACTGTGTTACTGAGCCTCACAGCACCTTGAGGTACATGCTATTATGCAGATTTTACAGATGAGGGAATGGAGACTCAGAGAAAGTAAATAACTCGCTTACGGTCACACATCTAACAAGTTCTTACTACTAACTACTATGTTGTGTTGTCTTTCAATGCTTTCTCCTCATACCTTACCTGGAAGAAAGATCTAAATAAGCAATTTAGCGTTTTTCTTTAAAAAACAATTGCTCTGGAGAATGGACCATGCGAGGTGTGTTTTGAAGGTTTGGCAGACAGAGGGCTGTGGTTCCCATGTAAGAGGAGCCTTTGAAATGCTCAGCATTGGCATTGTCCAACAGAAACATAGTGTGAGCCACATTTGTAATTTTAAAGTTCTCTTGTAGCCACATTTAAAAAGTCAGAAAAAACTAGTGGGTTAATTTAAATGATATATTATATTTAATTTAGCGTACCCAAAATATTATTGTTTCAAAATGTAATCTATGTAAAAATTATTCATGAGACATTTCACGTCTATTTTTTCATCCAAAGTCTTCGAAATCCACTGAGTGTTTTATGCTTATAGTTCATCTCAATTTGAACTGGCCCCATTTCAAGCGCTCAAGAGGCACACATAGCTAGTGGCCACCATACTGGGCAGCACAGCTGTAGAGTAAAAAAAGGAAAAAATAAGAGCATTGCCAACGTCAGCTGTTTTCACCAGCCTCTGGAGAGGTAATTCTGTATTAGAATTACCCCAGAAGCCTTTTAATCACACAGATGCCTACACTTTATCCCAAACCATTAAATTAGAATTTCTGGGAATGACCTTTGGACACGCTTAAACGAAAAAGAACTTGCAAGCTCTCATTTCTAGTCCAAGCCTCGTAGAATGAAAAAAAAAAAAAGTGAACTTGTTTGAAATATGCCTTCTACATATCTCTTTCAGGAATCTGGGGAGATGATACATGGAAGATTCTGGCATTTAGGATCCTTGCCATTTCTTGCCATCGGACATTTGAGTAGTAGCTTGGAAAGTTGTTTCTTGCTTTGAGTTTTTCTGGGTTTATTTAAGCGAAACAATGGAAATAGGAGATACTTTGGCCAGAGTGATCATTTTATAATGTATGTCATATCATGTCACTCGTCTGTTCAGAATCCCCTCAGTCTCTCTCTGAGCAAAAGCCACGCCCTTACCATGACCCTCCACACCCTCCATAATCTGGGCCCTCTTCCTTTCATTTCCTTCATTAGTTCCTTCGCTTCCTTTCCTTCTCTTTTTCCCATTGTTGTTCACTCCACTCCACCTTCAGTGGCCTCCTTGTGTTCTCTGAGCACCCACATCGGACTGATTTCTAGATGGGGATCAGGTATCAATATTTCTAAAAAGTTATGTCTGCCCGGGGGAGAAACACATCTCCAGGGTAGCGTGTGAAATGCACGGCCTTAGGCTGTCCTCCTAAATGCTTGCTCTCAACTGAGCTTCTGCTAAGCACTAAGCAGCAGTGAATTCAAGGTCACATTTTCTAACTATTGAACGTATTCTAAGTATTGAAGGCAAATACTCTATGGAGCTTTAACCATCTGCTAAGACAAGGGGATGGTTGGAATGTTCTCATGAAAGTTCAGGTGCCTAACAAGGACAATCGGAAAAGATGACCACTGCATGTCATAGAGGTGTGCCCAGGGAGCATCCACAAGTGAGAACAAAATGTCCTCAGATAACTAACGGTGTGCTACCGCTTGGGAAGGACATTTACAGTCACAGTCCTCATGGCTGGAGAGCAAGGATGCAGGTTTTTTATTAGCACAGAAGATTTTAAGGGGGCTGCAGTAGATACAGACTTTCCTCAACCAAATCTCAACCACGCACCTGGAGAAGGAGTCACGTTAAAGCTTATAAGACAATTAGTGATGTACATTGGGCATCTGATGATTTAAAAACCTTTATAAAATACTTTCACAGAGTTTTTACTTCTTGGGTAATTTCCCATTGTGAAACCTATGACCTTAAACACAAATTGCCCTGAGCTGCCCATCCCTAAAAGAGGTTTCAAAAGAAACAGAACAGAGGCTGTAATTTGCTACTCCAGGGGCCGCAGCTTTGAGTAGCAGACAATAGCCTCGGTTGCTGCTGGCTTGGATCAACCCCTTCATAACCCAATCATCATCGACCTTATCGGCCAACTCGATCCTGTTCCCTGAATACGGAAGTTGAGAGTCTCATGTTACAGTTTCTGTCAGGTCGAGATTTGTGCAGGAAAAGGATACCTGGGTTCAGACTCTTGTGGCTCCAGCTGGAAAAAACCTTTGGTCTTCCCAGGGCTTCAGGGAAAACTCAAGTGATGCCCACACAAGAGGAACTTGAGGAACTGATCTCTCCTGTGCAGGATGGAGAGGAACCTTTGAGACATGACTGATAAGGATCCTAGTTTTAAAGGAGGTTTTCAGGTAAGATGTTTAGCTCCTTTGCTAAGCTCCTCCTCTTTCCATTAGATTCGGTTTCAAGTGGCGGCTGGCTTTAACAACGGGACAATAATCCACTGATGGACTTTGAGGAGCTATCAGAGGGCCCAAGCCCATCGGGATTGCTGAAATGCTTTCTTTTAATTTAATTTTTCATTTTGTATGTGCGTGTTATTGCTCTGATCAGAAAAAGAAATCTTTGTTCCCAATGAGACATGTTCTGTCCCTGGCAGTAGCTTAGATTGTGTGGGAGACTGGAATTGGCCATCCCAAGATATGTGTCTTTGGCATGAGGATTATTTTGGGCTGGTTACTTTAAAAAACTGCAGAGAGGAAAGAAACTCTGAAAAGTAGAATTTACTTACCCTTTGTTAAGAGACATTTACATTGTAAAGGAAGTCTCCATCTGTAAAGGTGTCTCCCTCTCTGTACCAGGAAGAAGCCAGATGACCTTATCTCTAGAAACTCTCATCACTGTGGAAGGCAAGGACTCAAGTCTGCATAATAACCTGACTCTTGGTTACTGTACTTATCTGGTACTCTCCCATAACTGACTCTCTCCACCCCCAACATCCTCCTTTGTCTTTAGCTGAGGGTGGTGTTTAAGATGCGAACTTCTGCCATTTTGGCAAGTTGCTCAGTTTGCCTGAGCCTCTCCCATGTATACATGATATAAAGTTTTGTTTAATTTTCTCCTGTTATTCTATCTCATGTGAATTTAATTCGTTTTCTGCCCAGAAAGACCCAGAGCAGATAGAGGAAATATCTTCCTCCCCTACAATTGTTTGCACTCCAATGCTTTGTTTTGCACACTGGCTGTTGTTTTGCTGTGAAAAATGCTAAAAAGAATGATTGACATTTTGGCTTTATTTCTGGGATTTAAAAGAATTGTTCTAGAGAGAATTGTTCTCGTTGGGTGACTTTTTTTTTGGTATTGTTGCAGGCTTTTTAAAGGTTCTTTATTCTGTTTTTGTTTTAACATATAGTTTCAGGATTATGCAATATATCAAAGGTCTTGCATTGCAATGTTTTCAAGTAATCATCCATACGTGGATAAATAATCTTAAACAATTAGGGAATGATTCTAGGAAAACTGGCTTCTGGATCAAGAAATTTTGATAAACTTCAAAATAAAAATAGACCCAAATTACTTAAAAAAATATATTTTTGGTCAGGGACACACATTTCCAGTGCTAGCTAGTACAAGTGAGTGCTCTTTGAAGTGGATTTATGGTAAGTTTTTGGTGTAAGAGAAAAATTTTTCCTTTTATGCATATTTTATGATGCACATTAATTCAGTGGCACATGTACAAAATTTATAAGTGAATATATAAATGAAAGTATATAAATTGGGACTCATGCTCAACATATTTTTCTTTCAGGAACATGCAGTCAAGGAGTTAGGGACACACCATCTAGAAAGAGGCCCAGTTCCCTCGGGGCCCCTCTCTGTGTCCCTCCTCTGGGCCTGGAGCCTGGTGCAAGCTGTTAGAATTTCCTGGAAGGTCATCGATGTGTCTCTCTGTGTATTGCCTGCCCTCACAGTTCCAGTGGCCGTCCTCTGTCCTCTGCCTGAAAGGGAAGCCCATTACCTCCTGGAGAGGGTCACAGCTCAGCGGTTAAGGGGACAGGCGTTCCAGCTAAATTGTCCAAGGCCAAATCTTTGCTCTGCCACTTAGACGAATAACTTCAGAGAAGGTATTTACTTTCACTATGCATCAGTTTTCATGTTCATAAAATGGGTCTAGGAAAACTACCTTCCTCATTGGATTCTTGAGCGAATGAGTTAATTAATACGTGTAGAACGCTCAGGAAAGTGCCCCGCACGCAGTGAAATGTCATCATTGCTAGACTGATCCCAGCTGCTGGGAGCCAATCCCCATTCTGGTCCTCAGCAGCTTCCTCTCCCGGCTGCTGCAGCATAGCTACCAACTCCAGGCCCACTGCTGCCCATTCCAGTGAGCCCTGAGCTTGCAGAGACAGCCCCCCTCCAAGTTCATCCCCATTCTGCTGCTGTGAGCTCTTCCCTGCCTGGCCACAACAGGAATCAGAAAAGTCTAATTAGTGGTTGATTTATTTCATTTGGGATTAAGACATGAGTTTTTGAACTGTACTTTCAAAATAAAGTTTGCCTTGCTAGGTTCTGATATTCGAAACAATTTTAGGGAATTTCATTTATGATTGCTCCTTGGGATTAGTAGTCAATTGATCCTGAAATTGGTCAGCTCTGGGGAAAATTAATCTTATATGTGTGTGCAAATAGGAGGTTCTCCTAGAAGCTCGTTAAAAATGCTGTTTGTGCTTTGGCTTTGGATCAGTGTTTGCAAAGCTGAGAGTGACCTGGTAAAACGATCAAGACAAGACTGGTCAGATTTGACAGGCCAAACGTGGATGCGGGTATTTTTGGTAAGCATTTCTAAACTCCCATTGCCATCGGATGCATGTGTAAGATCGTGTGCTCTGAATCCTGAGCAGCCCCTCTTCTCTCTCCGTGGTCTTTGTTGTGGTTCAACTACTTGGGAAATTCTAGCGATTTCTCAGAAAAGAGTTGCTCGGGACACCAAGAAAACAGAGAAACAAAAGTGGTCTTCAGGGCCTGGAACGATTCTATGAGAGTCTCAATTCCAGGATATGTTAAATCCTGATTTGGATCATTTAATGACTATCACAGCTTTGGAGTTATTCCATCACTGAGTACTTCAGATTAAAAAAAATAGCATCAAAGCAAGAGGCAGGAAAAGTCTTTGCAATATTTCATCGCCCAAAGACACAAACTGACACCAGATCAAGTGTGTGGAAGTGGGATGCTCATCTAGGTTGGAAAGCTAGTTATAGTTTAGGTTGTGAATTTAGCGGTGCAGGGAAGGAAACTCTGAAAGGTCAGCTAAGGCTTCTATGGAAATAACTTTCACCATTTTCATTCTGCTCTTAAATTGGTTTCTTGCTTTTTTTTTTTTTTTCCTCCTATTTTTTCCCTAGGAGTGGGAAGCCCACGTTAAAAACAAACATTTCCGGAACTAAGAAATTCAATTGAAAAGCCGGTTCTAGAAAATGCTCACTCATCAAATATTTAGTAACCACTCACTTTGAGCCAGGCACTGTGCTGGGAGTAGGGGATACGGGTATGAAAAGGTATCAGCTTCTATCTTTGAGGAATTCGCAATCAGACGCTGTGACAGATATCTCAGGGGGTGCAAACATAAGAAAGAGAAATGAAACCATGTCTATTTCAGGCACCCAGAAGAGGTGGTACCTGACTTCATCATTGTAGGAGGAGTCATCAGAGGCTCCCACCAATCAATTGGGTGCCTATTGAGTGAGTGCTCAGTGATTATTGAGTGATCATGTGCTCAGTGAGTCTATAAGACAGGGCTTCTGCGGTCCAGCACCCTATAAGATAATTGGAGAGACCAGACTGAAATATGAGAGACAAGATAAGATAACACAAGATGAGATAAGAGGTGATAAGTTTGTTATTAAGCGACAAGCACTTTTAGACATAGCACAGATCACTCAAGGCTGGAGTCATCTAAAAGGGCATCCTGAAAGAAGCTGCGCTGGAACAAAGCCTCTTGAGAGGAGGTTACTCTGGAGCAGGCGGAGGGAAATGGGGAGACTATTCCACATGGGGTGGGTGGGAACGAGAACTAGAGCTGGGAATGGGCAGTAATGGACTTGGAACAATGAGAGGGTCGACTGAGCTGAGATGGAGTATGTTTGTGATGAATAATAGGAAATAAGGTAGGGTCAACCCAACTGCATCGGAAGATACATCTTGGCTAAAGCAAGAGAGAAGGTTAGATGAGGAGCGCAGGCTAGATGAGAGAAAGCATTGAACAGCCAAGCTGAAGGACGGCACAGTAGACACACAAGCACAGCAGGAGGAGGTGGAAGACTCGAGTTTCGGTCTGGGCTCGGCCACCACCAACTCCAGGAAGCTTTTTAGGCCTCAAAGTCCTCATCAAGGCTGCATTATGACTTTTGTGGGCCCCTGGGCACGTTTGTCTTGGGCCCTTTCCTCCCTAAAAAAAATTATGAAAAGTTGTATTTTACAACTGTGTTGTTACAAGGACAAATACATTACTTACATATTAAAATAAATTCTTTGACCTAAGAATTCATTTTTTTCATATGATTTTTAAATAAATTAACATATTTTTGTGGGTCCCTAAGAGCATCGTGGGCCCTGCGCCCACCCTAGCTAATGGCTAGGTTGGCCTGGTCCTCATCCGCCCCACGGGGAGGTGGAGTGCAGGTGGATTCTAACTCCTTTCCTCCTTTGGAAAGTGTGTGAGTCACTTCCCAACCTCTCAGTCTGCATGGGATGGTTGGGCTGGTACTTTCAACAGCTTAATATTTGACCTGAAAACAATCATATGGAAAAAATATTCACAGAAAAAGGAAAGATAATGAATTTTTTTGTAATTTTCAAATACTAGGTGAAAATTCTCTTAACTAAAAAACGTGTTCATCAAAAGAAAAAAAAGAAATTTCATTTTTTTAAAAGAAGTAGATTGATTTTTTTAAAAGAAAGATGTGTTCATTATAAAAAAACTCAGCACCAAAAGATGCAAATAACTTAGAATCTCCTATGCCACTTTCACAAGAAAAGAAATAAAGTCATATGTCACAAAAAAATAATAGGGTACAGAAACTGAAATGAGACTGAAGGAATTGCTGAACTTTGAGTAAACCATGGTTAAGAAAATATGTTTTCACTGCCTCCTCTCTCATTCTGATCCACACTTCAAAGTATCTGGTATTCATGCTTTCTAATTTGTGGTTTGCAGTAACGGCTATCTCCATGTTTCATTGAAGATAGATTATTTTTTTGTCTTTTATTTCATCTTTTTGATATCAGTGGCTTTGAGGGAGGGGAATAAAAATGTCTTTATTCCACTATTTTTTATTTTCGCTTTTCAGCAATCATTTTTTTTTTTTAGGGTTTTTTTTTTCCTTTTTCTCCCAAAGCCCCCAGGTACACAGTTGTGTGTCTTTAGTTGCGGGTCCTTCTAGTTGTGGCATGTGGGATGCCTCCTCCGCATGGCCTGATGAGTGGTGCCATGTCCACGCCCAGGACTCGAACCGGCGAAACCCTGGGCCGCAGCGGAGCGCACGAACTTAACCACTCGGCCACGGGGCCGGCCCCTAAGCAATCATTTTAATGTGGTATTTAAGTTTGTTATTTTAAAGGATGTTATGACATACATAGTCTAAGAACTCAACTATTTCTTCAAAGCTTAAAACAGATAAAGGAAGTCCCCCACTCTACCTGCCCCCACTGCAACTCCCACTCCTCAGAAGCAATCTATTTTTTTCCTGACATTAACTCCCTGGGATTTCTAAGTAACAAGCTTGTATTGTTATTCTTGATTGTACATATTTTACAACACTTGCATTTGTATTCCAGCGTAATCTTCTGTTTCTTCACTTGCCTTGTTTTCTGCGTACCTATCACTAATTAATCCTCTATTTCTCAGTTGGAAGTATAACTCTCCTCTCTGTAAACGTAAATAAACTCTTTCACATTTTTATTGGAAATGTCACCCTGGCCTCTCCATCTTCCTTTTTCAATCTGAGTTAGTTGCTCTCTAGGCCTGCTGCATGGCTGTTGTCCTTGAATCTTCTTTTACCATCATCCTGGAAACTTTCAGAATTTTCTGTTTATACCTAATCATCTGAAATTTCATAATGCTATGAATTCTTGTGGGTTTCCCCCTTCTTTCGCTTGTGTTGAGTCCTTGCAATCTATAAACTCACGCCCTTCAGTTCATGGAAAGCTCATTTCAGTTCAATTGTGATGTCTTGATTCATTTGTTTGATAATTTTCTTCATTCCTTTTTTCTGTGTTCTTGTTTTCTAGATCTTTTATCACTTATATTTGAAATTACTGGTTTCATCTTCTTTCTCATCTTTTCTCTCCTGTTTCCCATCTCTTTGTCTTTCTTTCTTTCTTTTTTTTTTTTGCAGAGAAATATCCGCCCTGAGCTAACATCTCCTCTTTTTTGCCAATCTTCTTTTTTTTTTCTCCTCAAAGCCCCAGTGTATGATTGCATATCCTAGTTGTAAGTCCTTCTATTTCTTCTATGTGAGCTGCCACCACAGCATGGCAACTGACAGACAGGTGGTGTGGTTCCCCACTGGGAAACGAACCCGGGCCGTGGAAGCAGTGAGGGCCGAACTTTAACCACTAGGCCATCAGGGCTGGCTCTCATCTCTTTGTCTTTTTGTTCTATTATTTCTGCACAGTTTACTAGATTTTTACCTTCTAAGTCTTTTATTTTTTAGTTTCTGCTATCAGATTTTAATTTTCAAAACTGTTAACGTCTAAACTCTGAATTGCATGGGGAGAGGGCTTGATTCCCTTACTTTTTCAGGGATGCAGTATCTTCTTCTCTCTCCCTGATCTACTTTCCAGAGATGGCTGCCACAATAGCTCTCACTCCCCTCCCTTAGAATCTGGGCAGCCTTAGGACTTGCTTGAACCTATTGGATGTGGCAGAAATGATGGTGCATAACCTCCGTGGTGAAGTTACAGAAGGCAGTGTGACTCCTACCTGGGGACCTGGACCAATCACATTGGAACCATGATTAACCAGGAAAGCAGTTGCCTGCCCCGAGGCCACCTCACTGGAAGAAGCCACACTAGCTCACATGGAGAGAGCACATGGAAGAGCCTTGAGTCGACCTGAGGGGATAGACAGCAGCCTGGCCAGCTCCCGGCTCCTCCAGGCCTGGCTGCCATCTGACTGCAATGCCCTCAGAGCCTCCAGGCCAGAGCTGTCCATGGAGCTCTCTGAGGTCCTGCTCCATAGAAACCATTCGAGATAATAAAACGTTTGCTGTTATTTTGAGCCACTAAGTTTTGGGAACAATTGTTATGTGATACTAGGAACTGGAACACAGAATATGAATGATAGTGGTTTGGTTTTTCAAAAAAGGTTGTTTTCCAAGTATTATCTTTGTTTGTCTGGTCTTTGTCACAATAAAGCCTTGAATCGAATGCCTGCTGATGCCTTGAGAGCGAGGCACTGTGTTGGGACCAAAAGCTTGTTAATGAGTGGGTTTCACAGTGGGGTGACAGGGCTGGTCCATCTGTATGGAGCAGCCTTCTCTCCAGGGATGTCCACTTTTCCCCAAGAAGAATCCCCCACCCTTTCTCTCAAGGAATCTGCAGCCAGGACTCTGGAAATCTCAATGGGAACTTTCATTCAATTCCCTGATACCAGTGTGGCATCCCCACTGTCAGCCATGTGGCCTGTCCTGGAGCTCAGCCACTCCCGTCTTCTGCCCGATGTGGCATTGGGGCAGTTGCCCTGCTGCAGGGGGTGAGGAGAAGATTGGCTTCTCACATAAACTTAAGTTGATCCTCTGTTTCCAACTCCATCTTTCTGAGATGCCCGTGGCCTCCCATTTCTGAGCCTCCAGAGGGTCAGGGCCACAGGTCGGCTTGCTCGGGAACCTCTCCCTCAACCAGCTTGGGCTCCAGCTCTTCTCTGTCTACTTGTGATGCTCTGCCTCCGTCTGCTGTCTGCCTTCCTAAATGTCGCTGTCTTCTTCTGCCCTCTGTTCAGGGTGACTTGTGTCCTGTTTTGTTTACTTTTAAATCCTTTTCCAGGGATTTTAGGGTGAAGCAAAAGCAAATAGGTATGATCAATCTGTCATGCTTAAATGGAACTGGAACCTCTAATATCTTATTAAATGAATAGCTTAGTACATAAAAATGCTCAAAGAGAATAAATTGGAAATTCATAAAAGGTGGAATTCAGGTAATAAAGAAATTGAAAACAGTCCAATTTTACTGTGGTTTGATATAATAGGGCAAAGTTAAAGTGTCCAAATCTTTTCTTTATTAGCAAATAGGAAAATGAGGACGCTCAGAGAGTTAGAGCGCATCTAGGCATTTTAGTTTTGCTTTCAAAAGTCACACATGCTTCTTGTTAAAAAAAAAAGGAACAAAATGACAGAATCGTCCTACTATCCTTCCCTTCCCCACTCCCACCACACGACCTCGGGAGGCAACCTGTGCTAGTCTGTCAAATCTTAAAAAAAAAAGACTGGAAGGATTACAGGTATCTTTTGCTCTGAATACAATCCAATTCCACTGTTGCAAAGAATGCTGTCAGTGTGTGTGGTGTATAATAATACACACATGCATGCCTGGGTTTTTAACATAAACATAATTGCACTTTACATATTCTGCTTTTGTAAGCTTAATGATATACCATGGGTATTTTCTCATGTGAATAAACATATCTGTCTCACTCTTCCTAATGGTTATGTACTGCAGTTAAATAGTAATTCTTCTACTGATGGATATTTAGTTTTTTCCCTACATTTCATGATCACACAAAAAATTGTGTGATTTTGTGAATATATTTTCCTATAATACTAGTATTTCTCTAGGACAGATTTCTTGAGTATAATTACTGGGTTAAGTAGAGTACACATAGGTTACGCTTTGATAATATCCAGCTGACCTCTAAAAGTTCGTTTTCACACAGTCTCTTATGAACTTTGTTAGCGTCCCCATGCCCGTCCACCCCGGGACTTCGGCAAATGGGATTTTTGAACCCGGAAGGTGATTTCACCATCATAAATGTGACCCTGTGCAGGCTCTTGGCCGCCTTCCAGGGGGCCTTTCTCAGTGACACATCAATCTTGCCAGATCTGTCTTTTGAACTCTTTGTTCTCCAGTAATTAAAGAAGGGCAAATTAAATTATCAAGAACCATTGTTGGCTAATTATTTTCAGAACAATGGAAAATAAGCAAACCCTGCTGATAGCGTTCAAAGAACCCGGCCTCCTCACATCTTACATGGACACTGGCACTGAGTTTGGGAAACTAGACCGGCTCCACATATGAAAAGCCATAAACAGTTTACACTTTCTAACGCTACCTCTCCACATGCAGCAATCCATCCTAAGTAAGTAATGTAAAATACTGAAATGCCGTTTACAAAAGACATTTACTGCAGTATTACTGACAATAAAAAATTGGAAACAATTTCAAGAGCAGAAATAGAAACTGCCATTTTCTTATTGTGAAATACTTAGGTTAAATAAATTTTGGTAAATCTACTGGATGGAATATAAAGTAGTCTTTTTAAATGATGAGTATGAAGACCAAGTGTTTTCAAGGAAAAAGGTTTATGCTATATATGCTAATATTATGTACACAATAATACGCAGTAATTATAATAGTAAAAAGTGGTTTTAGGAACTCAGAATACATTTTGCTACAGTACAATATTCTAACATGGATCAACAACTAAAGATTATTTACTCTGTAATGTAACTAAATTATAGCACTGATACAATTAGCCTGAATTCTGGATCTTAGTAGCAAGGGAAAGTGCCAGAAGGAGCAAGGAGAAGTTTCCTCTCTTGTTGCCGGGGCTGGGCTGGCCTTGGGCAAGATCACAAAACAGAGGGCAGCTTTCACTGCCTCCTCCTTCCTACTGTGCCCCTTCCAGCCTTTTATGAAAGCTCCTCAACTCTCTTCCTCCCAGAAGTCACCTTAACCACCTCCTCAAAGCTTCCCCCGCCTTCCTCACCCCTAAATTGCACTGGCTCCATAGGGACTCGACCTCAATGACTCAATCCACATTCAGGTGTCTTGCTCTCCTTCCAGACCCACTCCTGCTAATTCAAATGGTGCTTTAATTAGGAGACTATTAGGCCACAGGAAAGAAAGTGAACAAGCCAGACAGTTCAAAGGAAATCATTTTGGGCAGAGAGTGACTAGTCTCCAAGTGTATTCCTTAAACTATTCCTAATATTCCCCAATTTCTTCCTTCTGAACTCACAGATTCTCTACAAGTTAAATTTAAAAAATGTCAACGATTCCCTCCACAGTAATGGTAGTGAGCAACCTTTGTAGTGTGTGTGTGTGTGTGTTTGTGCACGCACACAGGGGTCGGGGCGGGGTCAGTG